CCTAACATAACCACACCTGTAACACACCTAGCCTAACATAACCACACCTGTAACACACCTAGCATAACATAACCACACCTGTAACACACCTAGCCTAACATAACCACACCTGTAACACACCTAGCCTAACATAACCACACCTATTACACACTTAACCTAACATAACCACACCTGTAACACATGTAACCAAACATAACCACACCTGTAACACACCTAGCCTAACATAACCACACCTGTAACACACCTAGCCTAACATAACCACACCTGTAACACACTTAACCTAACATATCCACACCTGTAACACACCGAACCTAACATAACCACACCTGTAACACACGTAACCAAACATAACCACACCTGTAACACATGTAACCAAACATAACCACACCTGTAACACACCTAGCCTAACATAACCACACCTGTAACACACTTAACCTAACATATCCACACCTGTAACACACCGAACCTAACATAACCACACCTGTAACACACGTAACCAAACATAACCACACCTGTAACACACGTAACCAAACATAACCACACCTGTAACACACCTAGCATAACATAACCACACCTGTAACACACGTAACCAAACATAACCACACCTGTAACACACCTAGCATAACATAACCACACCTGTAACACACCTAGCCTAACATAACCACACCTGTAACACACGTAACCAAACATAACCACACCTGTAACACACCTAGCCTAACATAACCACACCTGTAACACACCTAGCCTAACATAACCACACCTGTAACACACCTAGCATAACATAACCACACCTGTAACACACCTAGCCTAACATAACCACACCTGTAACACACGTAACCAAACATAACCACACCTGTAACACACCTAGCCTAACATAACCACACCTGTAACACACCTAGCATAACATAACCACACCTGTAACACACCTAGCCTAACATAACCACACCTGTAACACACGTAACCAAACATAACCACACCTGTAACACACCTAGCCTAACATAACCACACCTGTAACACACCTAGCATAACATAACCACACCTGTAACACACCTAGCCTAACATAACCACACCTGTAACACACGTAACCAAACATAACCACACCTGTAACACACCTAGCCTAACATAACCACACCTGTAACACACCTAGCATAACATAACCACACCTGTAACACACCTAGCCTAACATAACCACACCTGTAACACACTTAACCTAACATATGCACACCTGTAACACACCGAACCTAACATAACCACACCTGTAACACACGTAACCAAACATAACCACACCTGTAACACACGTAACCAAACATAACCACACCTGTAACACACCTAGCATAACATAACCACACCTGTAACACACGTAACCAAACATAACCACACCTGTAACACACCTAGCATAACATAACCACACCTGTAACACACCTAGCCTAACATAACCACACCTGTAACACACGTAACCAAACATAACCACACCTGTAACACACCTAGCCTAACATAACCACACCTGTAACACACCTAGCCTAACATAACCACACCTGTAACACACCTAGCATAACATAACCACACCTGTAACACACGTAACCAAACATAACCACACCTGTAACACACCTAGCCTAACATAACCACACCTGTAACACACCTAGCCTAACATAACCACTCCTGTAACACACCTAGCCTAACATAACCACACCTGTAACACACCTAGCCTAACATAACCACACCTGTAACACACCTAGCCTAACATAACCACACCTATTACACTGCTTTTTTTGCAGGCTGATTTAGCTGCATAGAAGATAAGAAATATCAACATTTTACACACATTTATTCTGGTTGTTTTGGATGATATTGAGGTCACTATAACATTAATTAACTCTTATTTCATAATCTTCAGAAAATGTTCCTCTGTTTTAGGCCCCTGAGGCCATAACCACACCTGTAACACACCTAACCACACCTGTAACACACCTAACCACACCTGTAACACACCTAACCTAACATTACCACACCTGTAACACATAACCTAACATAACCACACCTATTACACACCTAACCTAACATAACCACACCTGTAACACACCTAGCCTAACATAACCACACCTATTACACACTTAACCTAACATAACCACACCTGTAACACACCTAACCTAACATAACCACACCTGTAACACACCTAACCTAACATAACCACACCTATTACACACTTAACCTAACATAACCACACCTGTAACACACCTAACCTAACATAACCACACCTGTAGCACACCTAACCTAACATAACCACACCTATTACACACCTAACCTAACATAACCACACCTGTAACACACCTAGCCTAACATAACCACACCTATTACACACTTAACCTAACATAACCACACCTGTAACACACCTAACCTAACATAACCACACCTGTAACACACCTAACCTAACATAACCACACCTATTACACACTTAACCTAACATAACCACACCTGTAACACACCTAGCATAACATAACCACACCTGTAACACACGTAACCAAACATAACCACACCTGTAACACACCTAGCCTAACATAACCACACCTGTAACACACGTAACCAAACATAACCACACCTGTAACACACCTAGCCTAACATAACCACACCTGTAACACACCTGTAACACACCTAGCATAACATAACCACACCTGTAATACACCTAGCCTAACATAACCACACCTGTAACACACGTAACCAAACATAACCACACCTGTAACACACCTAGCCTAACATAACCACACCTGTAACACACCTAGCCTAACATAACCACACCTGTAGCACACCTAGCCTAACATAACCACACCTATTACACACTTAACCTAACATAACCACACCCTGTAACACACGTAACCTAACATAACCACACCTGTAGCACACCTAGCCTAACATAACCACACCTGTAACACACGTAACCAAACATAACCACACCTGTAACACACCTAGCCTAACATAACCACACCTGTAACACACCTAGCCTAACATAACCACACCTGTAGCACACCTAGCCTAACATAACCACACCTGTAACACACCTAGCATAACATAACCACACCTGTAACACACCTAGCCTAACATAACCACACCTATTACACACTTAACCTAACATAACCACACCTGTAACACACGTAACCAAACATAACCACACCTGTAACACACCTAGCCTAACATAACCACACCTGTAACACACGTAACCAAACATAACCACACCTGTAACACACCTAGCATAACATAACCACACCTGTAACACACGTAACCAAACATAACCACACCTGTAACACACCTAGCCTAACATAACCACACCTGTAACACACCTAGCCTAACATAACCACTCCTGTAACACACCTAGCATAACATAACCACACCTGTAACACACCTAGCCTAACATAACCACACCTATTACACACTTAACCTAACATAACCACACCTGTAACACACATAACCAAACATAACCACACCTGTAACACACCTAGCCTAACATAACCACACCTGTAACACACCTAGCCTAACATAACCACACCTGTAACACACCGAACCTAACATAACCACACCTGTAACACACCTAGCCTAACATAACCACACCTGTAACACACGTAACCAAACATAACCACACCTGTAACACACCTAGCCTAACATAACCACACCTGTAACACACCTAACCTAACATCATGACACCTGTAGCACACCTAACCTAACATAACCACACCTGCAGTCGTGCGAGAGCCACTGATAGTTCACACCGTGTGAGCGTAAAACAGAAATCCCATCAGAACTTTAACATTTCCTGGGTTTAATGTCATGAGGGCTGAGTATCCAGCTGTTCCAGTAGATCCAGTTCATGTCGCTCACTGTCGTTCGTTCTGTGGACTGTAAGTTAATATGTACAGGATTGAGGCTTCTTTCACATGAACACTACAGCAGATGACCCACTCTGCTCTGAGCAGAGGCCTCTCTGTGCTCTGACCGACTGGAGGAGCTGCAAACACAAACAGCCAGCAGTCATCATCACAGCTGGATCACAGAAATGAAACTTCACTCTGTACCTCTGTTGTTCTACAAATGCAGGCAGAACGTTTCCTAATCAGATCAGTGAAGGAAACTGACCAAGAAATAATAAATCATGTGTGAAGTTATAATACAGCAGACTCAGAGAACGACCGCTGTTCTCTGATCCACCTTCTTCTCTTCCATTCTTCTGTGCTCTCGTTATTCTGCTGCATCCTGTTCTATTCTATTCTATTCTATAGAGTTATATTATTAGTCCTGTAGAAGATGGTCATTAACTTACTGCGAGTCAGTGAAACTTCTGGTATTCAGTCTATTCTATTCTATTCTGTTCTATTCTATTCTGTTCTGTTCTGTTCTATTCTATTCTATTCTATATGAACAGTTATATTACTCCTTCAGATCACATTGTTTTGTTCCTCTCAGTGAATCACTGTGAACACGGCTATTCTATTCTATTCTGTTTTATTCTATTCTGTTCTATTCTATTCTATCCTGTTCTATTCTATTCTGTTCTATTCTATTCTATTCTATTCTATATGAACAGTTATATTACTCCTTCAGATCACATTGTTTTGTTCCTCTCAGTGAATCACTCTGAACACTTCTATTCTATTGTATTCTATTCTGTTCTATTCTATTCTATCCTGTTCTATTCTATTCTATTCTGTTCTATTCTATTCTATCCTGTTCTATTCTATTCTATCCTGTTCTATTCTATTCTATTCTATATGAACAGTTATATTACTCCTTCAGATCACATTGTTTTGTTCCTCTCAGTGAATCACTCTGAACACTTCTATTCTACTCTATTCTATTCTATCCTGTTCTATTCTATCCTGTTCTATTCTATTCTATATGAACAGTTATATTACTCCTTCAGATCACATTGTTTTGTTCCTCTTAGTGAGTCACTGCGCGCTCCGTTCCAGCGCAGCACGCCTCGTTGAACTGCGCCGCTCCTGCGCACTCTCCTGCGCAGTGCTGACTCCCACTAACGCGCAGCGGTCAGGTCTGTGTTCGGCTGTCGCTCGGACTCTCCGGCTAACAAACAGCAGAATCGCCCGAAAATGAGCAGAACCTCGTCCGGCGGCAGAGGAGAGAGAGCGGCTCTGTGCTGAAAAGACGGGCGAGATTCGGGCTTTTTCTCTCAGGTGAGCGGCTGACCTGTTTGTTGTGGCCGGGCTGTTAGCCGGGCTGCTAGCCGCGGGCAGGCTAACTCACCCAGCTAGCGCTAACTAACGGCGCACGAACCCACCGATCCGGCCCTGCGGTGATGAACGAGCGGCTCATCCTCGGCTTCGGGCGCTAAAGAGGCGCCCTGTCTCCACAGAGTCCGGCCGGGCCGCCCGTGTTTTGTTTGGGGTGTGTCGAAGGGCCGCAGCTGGGCTGGCGTTAGCATTAGCAGCTAGCTAAGGCCTCGGCTTAACCTTACACAGCTGTGTTTGTGCGACGCTGAAACGCTTCTTGCTCGAATTGTTCCGTTCCACCTTAAATGGTGCAGCAGTTACAGGCGCCAGAATGTAACTGCTGCACCATTTAAGGTGGAACGGAAAAATTGGAACAAGAAGCAGGCGAATAAGGAGAAACCGACTCGGTGTGTTTGTTAGCTTTAGCCTCCAGTGTTTATATAAAGACAGCAGACGCTCAGGAGGAGAGTGAAGGGTTAAAAACACATTATACTTCATTTTTTAACTCATTTTATCGTTTCTAAAGCGCTCGAGTCGCCGTTTCTCATTAAAATGTTACACCTTATTTCTTATTTGGCTGTAGTGTCGTTGTTAGGCTGTGTCTGTTGTGTTTGGAAGGCTTTGTTTGATTGTTTTGCCGTTTTATGGTCATCTATGCCGCCAGCTGTCACCTAATTTTAGCCTCGCTCCTGTCAAACTGTAAGATTATACAGAGGAAATTAATACCTGAGACAGTTTTAAAGCAGAACTCCACCGATTTTTTTGTAAATTCCTGCCTAATTAAATGGCTAAGATGTAAACAGAGTCATCCAGAGTGGTTTAGTGTGAAATGCTCCGGCTTAGAGAAACCTAGAGTCAGAATTGTTTACAGTGGTGGTGATAGGAACCAGACGTCCACCTCTAAAAGCTCCCTGGCATATTGTTTTATCAGAATATCAAAATTTGATCTTCTTATTGCAATACATTCATGGCGAAGGGATACATGTAAGGTGTTGGAAGGCAAAATAGTCCCCACAGAAAACGTATTATGTCAGATTTGCCACTATTTTACCATCAACAACATTCCCTATAAAACTCAGAAGACTCGTGTAGGTTCACTGGTGGTTCTGGATAGTAAATAAAATGTCTATATTTGTGTTGTAGTCATGGTGACCCCTGGTTCCTGTCACCACCACTGTAAAGAAATCTGGACCATTTCACACGAAACCACTCTGAATCTCTCTGTTTACATCTCAAACACTGAATTAGGCAGAAATTTAGTAAAATGGGTGGAGTTCCCCTTTAATCTTGTGCAGTCACAGTGCACATTGTGTGTTAGGTGCTCATCACAGTTACCAGATCCTTTCTAAAATAAAGCTAATCGCTCTTTGTCCTGGATTATCTTTGGCTTTTCGCCTTTTGCCTTTTTTAGGTCAAAATGTTAGAGGAGGACAGCATGAGGCTGTTGTGTAACGTCGAGCAGAGACAATGAACAAAGACACAAACAGCTCCTGTTTACGCACTACTTTAGAGGAACTGGGCTAAAGGAGTCGTGTCTCTCGGAGCCTTTCAGTGTTGCCTGTTTATGCCTAGTCGTTTTTAACGTTTTTACAGACTCTAAAATGTTGTATTACTTTAATATTAGCACACATTGTGAGGTGAGCTGTAACAATACAGGTTACTGTACTGGTGTGATGAATAGTGGTATGTGTCATTGTTTGTAATGAAAATAAAGCGCCCTGAATTAATGCTGGACAGCCTATAATCTTTACGGGTGTTTGTTCAACACCATAATACTGATTTTTAAAACTAAGCTTTCTATCCATTATTAACTGTCTGTTGCGTAAAACTGGAGGGCCTTTGGTTTTTAAAGCTACACTATGTAAGATTTTATGTTAAAACTGAAAAAAGGCCTTATTACACAATAAAAAAACACTAAAATATAAAGAGGGCGTGCTGCTGCGAGTCGCCCTGTAAGACCTTAAATAATCATTTCAAAGTCAGACGTGTTGATTCAGGCTTTTCTGTATGATCTCAGAATCAGCATTACACTGATGAATATATGATGACAATAGTAGATAATTCACTCAGATCCGTCTTCACCAAGTTTTGACTGAGTTCTCTCTGAATTTTCTTCCAATTATCAGAGTCGCCCCCTCGGGGAAGGAGACCAAAACACAATCTACGTTACACAGTTTTCTTCCACGTTTGGTGCAATTACACATTTCCACCAGAGGGGTCTCCAAATCCCTAAAACTTACGTAGTGTAATTTTACACTGTCTAAAATGACATACTGTAGTTTAGGACCTGACATTTCACTGCAGTTGGCCATTTGATTGGTTCTTTAGATTGTTTTAATAAACTAGTTTTAAAACGTATAAAGAAATTAAAATTGGTAAGTCTCTTTTCTGGAAATTTGGGAGCTAATTTATAAAAATGTGCTTGAATTTCATTTTGAATTATTCCATATTGGTGCTTTTACTAATGCCATGTAATTGTGGTGTCATTGTAAAAGAAGAAAATGGAACCAAAGTCTAATCCAGACAAGCTATGCCAGACGTTTAAGCAGTAATACCAGTAAACCTTCATTAAAAATCTAAATATTGCAATATATCGTAACACCATGATATAAATCTGCATCCGTCATGCATGACATTCACCCGTGTTTATGCTGTCCTTACAGAATGGCTAGCTGTGGTGAGGTCGATCACTCCGTGGACGCGCTGGCTTCGGGTAAGAAGGTGGGTGGGGACTCTGTGACGGGCAGCAGTGGAAGCCCCTCCCCTTCCTCCCCTGCTCTTCCTGTCCTGGAGTGCGCCATCTGCCTGCAGAGCTGCGTCCACCCGGTGCGCCTGCCCTGCCGCCACGTCTTCTGCTTCCTGTGCGTGAAGGGCGCATCCTGGCACAGCAAGCGTTGCGCCCTCTGCAGGCAGGAGGTGCCCGAGGACTTCCTGGAACGGCCCACACTGCTGTCGCCCGAGGAGCTGAAGGCCTCTGCCTCGGGCAGCCGTGGGACGGGGGCCGGAGACCACGCGTGGTACTACGAGGGGCGCAACGGCTGGTGGCAGTATGACGAGCGCACCAGCCGCGAGCTGGAGGACGCCTACAACAAGGGCAAGAAGAGCGCCGAGATGCTCATCGCTGGTTTCTTGTACGTGGCCGACTTGGAGAACATGGTGCAGTACCGGAGGAACGAGCACGGCCGCCGTAGGAGGATGAAGAGAGACGTGGTGGACATCCCTAAGAAAGGGGTGGCTGGACTGAGACTGGATCCTGAGCCTGGACCTGCACCTGGAGCTGGTGCAGCAAGTGGATCTGGATCCGGAACTGGAGCACCAGCAGGGTCACCAAACGCAGGTGTGCCGGCAAGTGGGGATTCATTGGGCAGTATGGACGGAGGTGTTCCAGAGAGGGAAAGTTCAGCAGATGGCGCAGATACAGTGGCCAGTGGGGGGCGCCCTCAGGTGGGATTCGCTCCCCCTCCTGTCCGGCCGCCCACCATATTGGGGGGTCACCCTAGCAGCCCTGCGGCCTCTGCGCCCCTGTCGCTTGTTCAGGCGCTCGCTCAGCTCAATATAGGCCACACTGGTCCTGAGGAGGAGGAGGACGAGGACGGCGATGAAGATGATTCGGCCGCTCCCGACGCTTCGGGATACGAATCAGAGTCGGGCACAAGCGAGGATGATGACGATGACGTCGAACGCGGCGGTGAGGAAGGTGTTGGCGAGCGGGCGGAAGGGGCTCAGGGCAGGCACAGACTGCAGCAGTTGGACAGACTGCCCCCTGGTGGCGGAGCTGGTGGTCACGGCAGCGTCCGCTCACGCAGCCCTGATGGTCAGTGTACGGTGACGGAAGTGTGACCCACTACACCAACCCACCCCCCACCTGCCGCTGTACTGTTGCCATGGAAACGCGCTCGCTGCCCGATCGCCCACCTGCCTGCCTCAACAGTCGGGGTACTGCTAACGAAATCTCTGAAAAAGCAAAAAATTTAGACGAATTAATCACATTTAAGAAGTTTGGATTCGTGGTGACGCAGCCTAGAATGGGGTGAAGATGGGGACTGGGGATAGTTTCGGTGTTAAGCGGGTGAGTTTGAGTAATGCAGACTTTGTGGGAGTCTCTTATATATCGAAAGCCGGTTAGAAGGCTGTGAGTGTTTCACAAAGCAGTTAGCTGGATAACTTAAAGAGGAATTCTGTCAATTTTTTTCTTTTATGCATTGAGATGTAAACAACATCATTCACAGTGGTTTGATGTGATCATGACAGTGTTTTTTTTGGAGACTATTCTGCTGTGGTACGTCCTGCATGTACCTCTCCGCTGTGAACCAATTGAAAAAAAAAAATACATTTTAGACCAAAATCTTCTCAAAACTGTCATTAAACAATGTCTCAGACATCAGGCAGTCTATTCTCATGTAATAACTTTCTGTGAGGGAGCTTTTAGAAGCGTTATTCACACTTAGCAGCCATCTACATATTACATCAGAAACGGCAATCATCGGGGTCCAAGCACTCTATTTCTGGCGCCAGTAAAACCCAATGATGGGCAAAGGGGTCTCTATTTAAAATCTCAAAAGATGTCTGCCAGATTTCGTACGCATTGAGATTTTGGTGTGGTGAGCATTAAAAAGTCATGAAAATAAGCTGAATGAATGAACTAAATAATTCCAAGAATTTGCACCAGTATTTTAGTCTCCGGGTGCATCAGATTTTTATGTTGAAATCACTACAGTGTTCTCCTAAGAATGATCCCACCGGACCCACTACAAGGTTTTTCATTTCCGAATTTGCGATCTTCCAAAATCTTCTCAAAACTGTCGTTAAACAATATCTCAGTCATCAGGCACTGAATTCATAACCATTTCATGTAATAACTTGCTGTGAGGGAGCTTGTAGAGGCGTTAAAAGTCTGGATCTTTAGACGTCTGGTTTCTGTCGTCACGTCTGCAACTCGCTGAGTTTCTCTAGAACTTAGCGTTTCACATCAGACCACTCGGAATGACTTTGCTTACATCTCCCCTATTTAATGACTCAGATATTTTTGAAAAATTGATAGAATTTCCTTAAAGCCCAAAGTCAGTACTGCCCAATAAGAGGAGAGGTACACTCAACAAAAAGGTGCCCAAATTGTTCTCATCTTGGACTTAGGAAGTCTTTGTTACAGAACTTTTATGTTACGTGGAGGTTCTTTAAACTATGGTTCTTCAGCTCATTTTCAGAGATGGTTCTCTAAAGAATCAAGGATCTTTAAAGCACTGGTTTCAAACTGGTCCATGGGGATGTTTTTGCTCTAGCCATAATGTGAGCAAAAATGTGGATCATATGGGTTTCCCTGAGGTTCGGTTTGAGAACCACTGCTTTAAGGAACCCAGAAAGGATCATGGCTCCAAAGAACCCCTTTAGGCACACTGGTCTTTGAGTGCAAATGAATGTTGCTATTAGACAAGCCTGACTTTGGGCTCTACTGAGAAGTCCCGCTTTGAGGAATGCCCCCACCAGGTCTGCTAGGAGTTTGCATTACTCACACCCACCCTTTGGTTTTCCTTCTTTCTTTTTCCTTTCTCTGTCATTCTCTTTGTCTCTCTAACAGGGCTGTGCTCCATAGTTCTGGCATCAGAGCATCAGTAGGAGCCCTTCAGCCAGCTGACATTTTCTGCTCATAGTGTTTTCATGACGTGAGGTTTAGCGTCTCGACTCGTGAGCGAGCGAGAAAGTATGTGAGTGCTTTTCTTCTTTGGCCTGGTCGATCTGCGTCTCATCTCAGCGCGTGAGCCTGTTTCATGACTTTTACATGTGTTGCTGTGAGTGAGGCTTTTTTTGAAGGAAGTGACCCCAGGCTGAAGTGCTGTGAACTCTGGGAAGTGGAGTTTTATTTGAGATTTTACTTGTAGATGTAGTTTTCTGTTCTTGGTGTCCAGTTTTGAAGTTTTCAAATTTTAAATCAGTTATTTTTGGGTCAAGATCTCATGTCCATTTGTTCAGATTCTTTGTCGTCAGCAGAACAACAAGAAAAAGAAATAATAACTATATAACTTCTTTTTGGTGTACTTTGTTTTATTGTGTTGTTTTTTTTTGTTACTAAGTTTATCAGATTAATAAAGTGTTGTCTATTATTTGTCTCAAGTGAAATAGTCTTATTGTTTTCCATACATGCTAACAAAATGCTGCATTTTGAATGATATGCCATTGCACTTGAATGGCGAGTGGTGAAGATGAATTTTTCACATTTGTTCGGGTTTCTTTCTTGAATAGTTTTCGAACGGCAGGCAAAAAGGCTTAATATGTGTAAATTATCATCATTCACAACCAAGACCATCAGTCTCGTAACGTCACTTACCATCTACAAACTACATCATAAACGGCAATCATGGGGGTCCAAGCATGAGCACTATTTCCGGAGACAGTAGAACCCAATGATGGGCAAAGTGGCCTCTATTTGAAATAGATCTTGAGTTTTAAAAGATGTCTGCCAGATTTCACACACATTGAGATTTTGGTGTGGTAAACTTGTACAACATAAGCACAGTTGTTGAAATAGATCATTCCAAGAAATTGCTCCTGTATTTTAGTCTCAGTGCATCAGAATTTTAGATTGAAATCACTACAGTGTTTTCCTATGAACGATCCCACCGGTCCCGCTACAGGGTTTTTCGTTTCTGAACCTGTGATCTGTCTCATGAGTTTTCATGTTTTTCAGGGGATGTGCAGATCACTTAAAAATAAAGGGTTCTTTGTGTGATGCCATAGAGGAACCATTTTTGGTCCCCTAAAGAACCAGTGGATGGTTCTTTAGAGCAGGGCTCCCCATACGGCCCATGTTTTTCCTCCATTCTTATCGTTTCTGTCCAAAGAAAAATCTCTAAAAAAATGCTAACTTTACAGGAGAGAACAAAATGCTCTTTACTTTAATGAAAGTCAGTGTGAAGAGATTTTATTCCAACACTGCAAAAAATCTATTCTTTCCCATATCTATTATTTCCCATTTTGAGATGGTTGTGCACTTATAAGATTATCTAGCTTATTTATAGACATTATTTACTTGTTGTAGGTAATTTTATTAAGTGAATATCTCACTATACTAGCACATTTCTTTAAACAAGCAAAATTATCTGCCAGTGTAATGAGAGAATTTTGATTAATAAAATTGCTAGATGTCTAGAAAAACAGTCTTAAATTGAGCTTACAACAATCTCAACAGGAGAAACTTTAGATTTATTGACTATATTTAGAATGATTATACTCGACAAGATACCATTTTTTGCAGTGAAGTCATTTTGGAGCATTTCTTTTGGTCCATTCATCATGAAATTTTCACTCGATGTAAAGAACAGCCACCATGTTCAACTGTTGCAGAAAACTAAAAATCAACGAAAATGGAGATACAGGTTTTTCTCTGGACAGCAACTTATGTGTTGGTTTGGCCCTGAGGACCAGGTAGGGAACCACTACTTAAGAGAACCCTTTTTTGTAAGTGAGATGTGTGTGTGAAGAACTTCAGTATAGTTTAAAGGTTCTTGGAACAACCCTTACATTGGCATTGAACCTTGAGGCTTCTGTGACCTCAGACATCTCTTTTTGAAACTTTGGGCCCCATTTACCAAAATCTTCCCAAGTTTTTTCTTAAGTGTGTTCGTGAGAAAGGTGCTAAGAAAAAGTCTGCGTCAGATTCATGACATGTTCTTCAACCACAGAACTGTTCTAACCTTTGTGCTCTCGAGTGTGTGTAGATTGCCTAATGCCTAATAACAAAACACTGGTGAATGTCAGAATCTTCGTGAAAATTGCGTAAGTGGGTTTTTAAAGCAAGAAATTTCTTCTTAAGTACAGTTGGTGAATGAGGCCCACTGTTCTTTTAGGATTCGAAAGGGGTTCTTCTAAGACATCATTTCGATCCTGCGTGTCAGCACATCCTCAAAGCTCATTTCGATGCTCTGTTTGTTGCTTCATAATGAAGCTTCTCTTTGAGAACAACTTTGCCGTGATCTCCAGAATGAGAGCTGGGGTAAAAGATTGGTTTCCAACAGATCAGAATCGCACATGCTGACTGTAGCTTAACCCATTCGTTCTGGAACTAATCAGAATGTGTTTCAGATGTCCTAGAAGAGCGTCGAGAAAGTGAGCCGCTCCAGATTGCATTGTTGAGAAAATGCAAGGAAATGGAATCATGGTGGATTAGCATCTTATCCAGGCTCCGGCGCCACCGGGGATTTTCTAACAGACGTTATTATTATGTGTGATTTATGTGGATGTGGAAGTGTGGAGCTTTGCACCGAGCAGCTCTGCTGAATGTGGTTCAAATCAAATAACCGTTGATACGTTTCTGCGGATTCCGAAAGTTTAACAGAACTGAAGAATAAGCCGTAATGGTGTTATGGTTTGTTTCCTGACTGAGCAAATTTTCCTACAAGAAGGGAAAAGTGAAGTGCAAATGCCTGTCGAGGATATAAAGGCCTGAAACCAGCCTCGTTCAGGAAATTCAAATGGAGGTGTGGGGCACAGCCTCACATTCTGTTTTTAAATAATAATTTTTAATGAAAACATCAACTTTCCTTCCAGCACTTTGTGTTTATGAGCCATTCAGCCAAAAGTGGGAGTGCAAACATTGCAACATACCAAATAGGTGGAGATAACTGTGACCGATTGAAGGACCAGCTGAAACCGTGGCTAAAAAGTTTGGTAAACTGATGCAAACACAAAACAGTAGTGTTGTTGGTACCGGATGAGCGACATAAATACATGATAATAAACAAGTGAAAGTGGCTGAAAACTGACACATTTTTGACCATAAAGTAGAAGAGCCGTTATTAGCATGATGAAATAGAAATATATTTTATTTACATGGCAGCTAAAGTATGTGTTTGATTGTGTTCATAAAAATGTCCAAAAATGAATGTTGAATTTATACAGGGGGGTATTGAGTTCTCTGATTGTCTATTTATTTGGGGGTCTTAGTTGTAACAGTGTGTTAAACTAACCCCTCCGTGTGGAGGCTGCACTTCAGCCTGGCTGGCTGTTACTGTGAGTTGTTTACATGTTTTAAAACAGTGCTATATTACCACCAAGAGGGAGATTAAAATGATGAATGCTTATAACTCATTAACATTGAAAAAAAAAAAAATTTTGGTACAAAAACATCTTCAGTGTGAATCTAGAGAAATGTCCATCCAGTTGCTGTTAAAGTTTGCCAGTGGTGTTGCTATGGGAACATGAGAACCCTACTAAAAAGCATGTATTTGAACCTGTTTAACTACATAACACCTCCATATTAGATTTTACCCTGTGTTAGTTTGTGACCCACCCTAACCTATATAATTATAATTTAATTATTAAATTAAATAATACTTATTTAATTTAGTAATAAGTATATTTATCAAGAGAGCCACAGTGTTTAAAAATTGGGGAAGGCTTGACTGCAACATCTACTGAACATCAGAGTTAAATACTGGTGTCACAGTCGAGTTTTCCCCAGTTTGTCCTCCAAAAGGGAACTAAACACTGGTGCTTTTAAAAAGATCTACAGAAGAATGACTAAAAACATTTGAATACTATTCAGAATTTCCCTTCACCATTAGGAGGCGCTCTCCGTCACTCTTCACCTTCAGTGTTTCCCAGTCCAGCTCCTACAGTCCCTCCTGCACTGCCCCTTTCATTTCATTCAGAGAGCTTATTAATAAGCTGTTGAGATGAATGGGGTGTGTTGGAGCCAGGAGCTCCGTTAGGCTCTTATGGGCCTCAGTCCAAAAGAAAACTGCCTTCAATTAATAATGAAAAATGCAGTGTAATTAGCTCTGAGCCAAGAGCTCTAATGTAGGCAAATGGTATGTGTATTATTTTGTTGCTACCCATGGGTCATGGGGTAAAATTGAAGAAGTAGCCAGGGTTCAAATTGTGGTGGAGGCCTTGGGGGGGTCTCCTGGTGGAGGGTCTGACTATGAGGTGCTGTTTTTACAGTAGAGTTTTGTGGTTTATTCATCTCAGGTGGTTCACAATTATTGTTAGGCCAGACTTTTAATATCAGTATGAACGTATATTATTTTTACAGTCTTAAATGATCTTACAGCCTTTTTAGCAGTTTTATGACTCTCTCCTAGTGTAAACAAAAGAAGCTTTTAGGCCCAGTAGCCTTCCTTTGTTCTGTCAGTTAATTAAAATATTGTATTGAAAAAAGCTGGTTTAGTCAGCAGGCAGGTTTGGTGGCCCCCATAAGGCCATACAAATGGGTAAAATTCCAGTTATTTTTGGGTAGTTGTGCAAAAACGTGTCATCACGTGATGTGATAGGCTAGTGTTAATGTTACTACTGCATGTACTAAAACAGCCTAAAAGGAAACTTCTGGACCAACAGAAACATACAAAGCCAAAACCATGGGCATTAATATGAAGTTGCCCCCTTTTGCGGCTATATTTGGGGGCAGTCTTGGGCTGGAGGTTAGGGAACCAGCCCTGGATCGAACTGGAGGGTCATCGGTTCGATCCCCTGAGCCAAACTGAAGTGCCCTTGAGCAAGGCACCTAAGCCCCAGCTGCTCCCCGGGCGCTATGGATAGGGCTGCCCACCGCTCCGGGCAAGTGTGCTCACTGCCCCCTAGTGTGTGTCCTTTTCTAGTGTGTGTGCTTTTTTTTCACTATGTGGTGTTTCACTGCACGGGTGGGTTAAATGCAGAGGCGAGATTTCCCCATTGTGGGACTAATAAGGGTCACTTAATCTAACAGCCTCCACTCTTCTGCAGTGGATTTTGGAGAGTGTCCATTCTGTCAAAAGAGCATTTGTGAGGTCAGAATGATGGACAAGAAGGTCTGGCTTGCAATTGACGTTCCAGTTCATCCCAAAGGTGTTCAGTGGGGTTGAGGTCAGGGCTCTGTGCGGGCCACTGGATGCTTTGTGCACAGGGTCGCAGTCATGCTGGAACAGGGAAGGCTCTAAAATGGCCACTAAAGGGGCCATTTTAAATAATCTCAACAAATCTGTGGGCCAGAGAAAACTGTTTTTATTTCATTTTCAATTAATGTTGTGCTGTAAAACCTGAACTGGCCATTGTTTATTCAAAATACGCAAAAACTTCAGCAGTAAAATACAGACACTTGTCGTAGACCTTGAAATTTTCCATGAATACTTGAAATATTC